CGCCTCAAAACCTTGCACCCATGGCCAGCCACATCCCACTATTCTTACCCTCATCTCCACCAAATTTTGGTAAGCTTTTCGCTATACAAAAATCCCTAAGCAGACACTCTATTCACAGTTACTAACTTTGGATCAAAGACCCTTTGGCCAACCCCTACCCCCTCTCCCCCAACACTTCGTAGGTGCGTGAGGCTTTGGTCTTTGATCGAATGTGTTGATTGTTTTGTAGGTACTTTTCGTCAAGATTGAAGATGGCGGAAATTGTCTACCCCAATATATATTTTAGTATGTGTGGCCTCTTGGTTACAATTGATACGTCTGTCTTGTATACGTTTTTTTATCATTCTTAATAAAGTTTCCTTAATTAGAAGATTCTTTTTTAGGATAACTAATTAAAAGCTACATGAAGATTGATTATGTTGTTGCATGAGTGACAAACAATGTACTAACCGAAGAAAGTTGAGGTTCCATTATAAAATCAATTAGTAATATGGGGATGAGTTTGCCCAATTACTTAATTATAAGCATGTGCAATGTCCCTACTCTCATGAATGTAGGATTCAATTTCAAAGCCAGGAGTGAAGTTTAGTAGCATTTATGTTAGTTACTTTTTTGACTTTTAACTAGACAGAGTGTTAGTGGGTTAAATAGTTAGTTGTTAGGGGAGGACAAAAATCGGTAGGAATCAAAGTGGCCCAAAGGTGCATAAATATAATTGTTTTTTACCATTGCAGCAAAGTGTCATCGCATATAAAATGTTATGAAAACTAAAAGTCTTGAAAAATACTACTTGATCTTGAAAGTTATATTCAACTATATTGTTTCAAAATTAAAGATTTCAAACGATGTAATTTGAGATGACGTAAATTGAGAATTGTATTTAACAAAAATAATCTCTTAAAAATGAGATTGATTTTTTACAAGAATGTGTGGCTAACAACATTATTATTTGTCTACCAAGATGAGTCTAATATATACAAGAGCTTTAACAAAGAGTTCAACTCGATCCATTATAACATCTCAATAGTTAAAACAGTGTGAATACTCATCCTTTTTCTAATTAATGTAGCATTTGACTTGAACATTAAAAGTCGGAAAATAATATAAAACAGGAATCACCGATTTATCCTTTTTTCGTTGTGATCACAAAATTAAATAAACTCAACAGTTGCCGTTTGATCACACTAGGACAAAAAAGACTTTGCACAACGCAGGACCTTCGTCGCGCAAAGTCAAAAAACATTTACACAAGTGGATCGTCAATTTAAAACATTTACAAAAGTGGATACCACAAAAGGAAAAGGCAATGAAAGAACCCCAAAAGAAAAGCAAAAGGGATAAAAAAAAAAAAAAAAGAAAAAAAAAGGTCTTTACGCGATGTAGGTACAACTGCGTCGCGCAAAATAGCTTTGCGCGACGTAGATTGGTACATGTAGCGCAAAACATCTTTGTGTGACGACAACCTTGGTCGCGCAAATCAGTTTTGAACGACGCTTGCCCAACTATGTCACGCAAAGCTGTTTTGCGCGACGCCTTCCCAACTATGTCGAGTAAAGCTATTTTGCGTGACGTGTTTCCACCTTCGTCGTGCAAATTTAGAAAAAAAAAACGGTAAAGATCCTTCGTTTAGCGCCAAAATCTTGCACGACGCATATAGGGGTCACACAAATGTCTTTTGCGCAATTGTTTTGCGCGACCTCGCCTTTGTCGCGTGAAGTGGCGTTGTGCAAAACAGCTTTGCGCGACGCTTTGTGTATAGTGTCGCGCAAACACACTTTGGGCGACGAAATTTGATGCGTCGCGCAAATTTATTTTTGTACTAGTGTTAGGTAATAATTCTTGGAGAAGAGCCTTGTTCACCAACAACCTCATGATTTAAGGAAATTGTGTTCTTCTACTATTCGATTTTAATCTAACGATGGAAAGATTTAAATTTCATTGTTGTATTTTGTCTTTTCTCATTGGATTAAGATTGGAATGGTAAATGATCATAATTTTCTTGAACCATATGTAGAGCCTTAGAAAACATAACTCTTACAATATATACTAGTATATGCACACACACAAAATGTGTGTGAAATCTTTTACTTTTGTTTTTAAAATTGAAGAAAAGAGTAAGAGTGAGGGAGAACGTGGGAGTGGGGGGAGAGAGGAAGAGGTTAATTTTTGATTTTGAGTTTTTTTTTTTTTATTTTAAATTAGAGATGACAAAATCACATTTAGGTGAGGCTTAAATAAAAAACAACAAAATGTCTTTTCACCATCCTTTGATTGACAAAGAGGGTTTCATTAAATGTAGATTAGATAACTATACATTTACATGCCATTTAGTACTATGAGTTAGTGGTATTCTTCTTCACTTATAAGTGAGAGGTCTTAGGTTCGATTTTCGTCAAATGCGAAGTTAAACCATATTATTATGGCAAGCCCATTGTAAGACTTAGCCCAATCCCCCACGCCCTTAGTGTAGATACTATCGTTTGTTCCAAAAAAAGAAAAAAAAAAACTATACATTTACATAGGTGTTTAATTGGTTAAATTAGGTTTCATTGAATTAAGATCCAACGGTAAATGACTACAATTTTCTTAGACCATAGAGCCTCAGAAAAAGGATATTTAATTGGTTAAATTAGGTTGCCTCCACTAAATCTTGGGAGACAAAATGTATAGGGAGCTTCAATCTGGTTGTTAAGTAGAGGGAAACGATCCCATCTTGGAAACTGTATATTTTCCCAGCTGTCTTCTCTCTCTCTTTTTTTTTTTTTTTTTTTTTTTTTTTTTTTGCCCTAATCTTTTTTCTTTGGGATTTAATGAGAAAGAAAAATAATTGGAAAAACAAACAAACAAGGAACGGAATTTAACAACATTTTGGTGATGGGGATTAGGCGTATTCAATATGAACCGTTGGATCGCATTGGGAAGAGGCACGTAGGGTTCCCAAATTATGGATTTGTTAAGAATTTTGGCTACTAGGAACACAATGGGATGTTTGTCTCCATTACCCATAAAATCGATATATTGATCTCTTAATTATTGTTTTGGGATTTTAAAAGTTGCAGTTGAATTACATTTATAGTTTATATGTTTTTGGGGACACCCTTGAAAATGTTGCATCTTATGTCTCTCATGGTTAGGTTTGGGTCCTCTGGGAGATGGTGCATGCCTAATGACACTGACCACTTTATTAAGTTGATTTTTTGTAAACTAATGATCTCAAATATTAATAAATTAAGTCACTCAGTACTATAGTCTGATGATATTCTTTTTCATTTGAAAGTAAGAGGTCTTAAGTTCGAATCTCGTGAATGACGAATTCGATACCAAATTAAGTTGCCCATTGTATGACTTAGCTGAACTCCCCCTCCTTTTAGTGTAACAAATATCGATGTACTAAAAAAGAAATATTAATAAATTAATGAGATCTCTTAATAAATTAACTTGACTTGGGGAAATATGGTTGTATGAACAATATGCAGAAGGTAATGAAGGTCAAGCAGCAAAAAAGGTTCACTGTCTTTTCTTGGCATAACAAACTAATAAAAAAGAAGAAAAAGATTATTTCTTTGAAGCTTGAAGTTCACTGCATTGTTAACGACCTCAAAAAGGCACAACACAAGGAGTAGTCATAACCTAATTAAGCCCTCCAAAAATCCCCAAGTTAACGTGTAAAGGAATCGAACAAGCTATTGCCATATATTAGAATTAATAGTTCCCTATATATGTAGCTACACACATATTTATCTCGAAAACAAGTGGTGTATTAATTTGAACCTTTACCAATTAGATGTACTCTACTATACCAATTATGTCGGACTCGTTGTAATTACCAAATGATATACTTAGTGGCAGAGCCTAACTTATAGAGGATGAGGGGCCTTTCGTGAAGTGTAAAGAGGGGAATTCGGGAATATGGAAGGCGAATGGGAAAAGAAGAAGGCAGAATATAGAAGAAGAATGCCATGTAGCCTCTGGTCTTTAGGTGACTCTTAACATTGAAGAAGACTTTTATGACATGGACACACGCCACTTATACTGTTGTCACGTAGTGTTTTCCTATTCCACTCGACTATCACATGGGTGGGAAAGTTTTTCTAATTTTTGTCCGGTGGACTTCGCCGGCAAATACTCTTGTAGCAATTCACTTTGAATTTTCTTTTTACTTCTTAGAAGAACTTATATTCAAAATCCAAATCCAGAAAGACTAAAAGGGGATTAAAGATATAACACCGATATATCTACTATATATCAACTTGTTGCATTAGAAAGCCACCTGCTAATTAACCTTCCTTAAAGGAATTATATATATATACCTGTTGACCGAAAAGGAAAAGAAAAAAAAGAAGAAATACCAATGCCATGCATGTTATATGAACTTCAACTAGAAGTGTGGGGTCATTCTACAACCGCCATGCATCTCCCTCCCTAATTGAAAGAATAATGTTAGAGAGACTAAATTTACAAATTAAAGGACATGTAAGTTAATAATTAGTTTATTACTTAAGTGTTGATGAACGTGCTTATTTCTATTTGTGACATATCATTTAGTTTGCAAATTTAATCTCTCTAGCATTACTCTAATTGAAAACCAACCACTTCATATCTGATACATTTATGCGCTCGACCAATCAATGGATACGATCAGGTCATGTATCATAGGACGTCTTTACTGCTTTTATGTTATTGTTTTACCTCCATAATTTGAAGGGTTTCTTGAGCTCCATGTTCATTAAAAGATCACAACTAAATATATCAAAGATCTGTGTGTGTGTCCTGAGCTTTACGATTACCACTGGTAAATTTACGTGTTTTACAGAAGGCAAAACTAGGCAGGTAAACTACTTTTCATTCAAACTTTCCTGTATATTTAAATTATGGGAGTCCTGGCCTACTCGTAATTAACTACAACAGCATTGATAAGATATTAGATATGTAAGAAGAAGATGAGGCATTCTGTGATGTACATATAATAATGGATGATTGAAAAGCCTGGTAACAAATACAATATCCATTTTTGTTATACAGTCATATCATATGTCATAACTTATATATAGTACTTTTTGCCGGCAAGAGCATGAAGCTAGGAGGAATTCTGTGAGGCCCTACTGGTTTCTTGACTGCAATAACTTCCCACATGCATATTGGTGGAATGGATTGAAAGAGATAGTGAGAAGTATATATATTAGTTTTAAAGCAAAAGCTCGGAAAAAAAAAAAAAGGTAAAGCAACAAAATTAGGGTTCGATATATAATGATATATGTTATGAAGGTCTCAGTTATGAGAGGGAGGGTGTGTCTTTGGGGGTGAGTAGTCCAGATTAAACCCAGGTTGCTTCTGAACTCCACGCTTCTTGCGAGGCACACGCCATGAAACCGAAACGAAAGACGACTTATCATGCTTTGAAGTACTTATTGGATGATCAGCACTTGGGGCTGAGGTTGAACCTTTTATGATTTTTTTCGGAATGGTCTTCAGATCATCATTGGTCTTTGTGTGCTTCGGCTCTTTATTATTAATACTATCACTTTGTAGTTCTGTGCTTTCTCCTTTATCCCCTTGATCAAGTGATGGCTTTGATGAGAAAGACTTCATCATTGACATAGCTGGAATTTTATGATCCGAAACCTTTGCTTTAGTACTCTGCACAAAACCATAAAGCTTGTGAATTAATTAGTTAACTGGCTTGGTATAATTTCATCCAATTTTTTGGATTTGGAGTGGCAATAAGTTGATTACAAGAACCAATCTACAGTATCTGATACACTGCCGATATAATGAAATAATACCCGAAATTAACGTAGAGCTAATAATGTATTGACACTGCATTAGGTACTGTAAATTGATACCAATGTCAAACACTCTTTCCCAATCAACTATTTACGTTGTGACACAACTCAAAATGAAAAAGATATAAGAAAAGCTATTTAACTACATATATATGCACCGTATCTTACCTTGTTGATGAGGTGAAATTTGTTGTCAGGCTCCTTATGAACCGCACCAAGACGCCGGGCATTACATGCATGGAAAGAAAGGCATAGAAGATAAAGAAGAAGATAATGAGCAGTACTGGTTGACATATTGATTGAGAAACACAGGCTATATATTCGTTTTTGAATGCTGCAGATATAGAGATATGGAGACTAAAGCAAGCTCGGTTAAGTAATGGGGTGTTGGAAGTACTATGGTAGCTGGTGGCTGATGAGATATATGCAGTGGGAGGGAGAGGAGAGAGAGAGAGAGAGAGAGAGAGAGAGAGAGAGAGAGAGAATGAGAGCATTAAATGCTGGTATTTGATATCATAAGAGATTTAAGAGGTTGGTCGGTCTAGAAAGCACAAGAACATGGAGGTGTATGGGTGAGGACTAAGAACTAGTAGTAGAAAAGGGAAATGAAGAGATGGGTGGTCTCCCCTTCAGTCCTTTCCCCGTTCTCTCAAATTTCAATTGTGTTGGGTCCCAAGACACACCCACCAGAAGAAAGAGATGCAACTCACCCCTCCTTCAAAATATATATATGGATGGGGGCCTGGCCTTGTGGGGCCGGCCGGGGGGAGGGGGGGGAGAGAGAGAGAACTAAATTTCTTTTAACCAGAGAAAGTAAACTAAATGAGTAATGTTATTCATACCAATGTTTTTATACCATATTTTTATGAGTAATGCTATTCATACCATGTTTTTATACTACATTTCTATACCATCTTAGGTGACATCTGATGTGGGCAGCCACATCATTTGGAAAATTTGCAAAACCCAAGGAAATGAAGGAGAAAGACTCATCGTATACAACAATCATCATTTAATTAACTAGTTTTTCTTAATTATTAGTTTATTAAATAATGAACTAAATTTAAAAATCTGATTAATTCAAATGATGTGGTTGTCCACATCAAATGTCACCTAAGGTGGTATGAAAATATGGTACAAAAACATGGTACGAATAAAAACTAAATATAATATACACTAGAAAAATGGGACTGCATGCACAAGAAGTGAAACAAATAACAGAATCAAGAAAGCTAGTGTCTATTGTCTGCCTAATTTCTTACACCGAGGCACAATTCAATGTTACTTGTCCTTAAGTTATACGTAGATTAATCACACCATTTGCATATTGTGCGTCCTTGATCCTAGCCCCTGCCTGTCTTTTTACCCTCTTGGACCTGGGACAACTGAATAACCAAATAATTTAGTTTATTTTAATTAGTTAGTAATTACAACTTAACCTTGAGTGTTATAAGAGAAATTAATTATCAAATCACGGTAGACACGTATATACGTAAGATTAACATCCTTGCTAATTATATTTTGTAAAGCCATGCATGTTCTTAATTTGTTTACAAGGAATGAAGCAAATATTAGGAGAACGAGAAAGTTTCCTCTTTTGTAATTGATGCACATGATGAACAGATAAATTCTTATAAGCAAATGAACTAAGCAACAGCACAGCGTAGGTAATTCCATCCTTATAACCTCACTTTCATCTATTATTTTGGATAATAACTCAAACAATAAAACTGCTTGTACCACGTGTTATAAACCACCAACATATTGAGAATGATAAATTTCACGTATAACATGCTTGTAAAATCGAACATTTGCATGTTCAAGTTGAATTTAGGTTGCGTGAACCTTGAACTCGAACTTAGTCAGTTTGTTTGGTTTTGAAAATAATAAGTACATGCTTTTATCTGGATTGTTCAAAGGCCGGTTTGAATTTGAACGATCTTGGATATATAAAGGTTTAAACCCATCTTAGCCACGGCCTTACTGATTTTGGCAGAGGCGTATGATTTTAGGAATTACTGCATTGGTGAAGTGAAGGCATTCTACAATTACACTCAATCTCTGTTCTAAAATTGGGTGAAGGCTAGAGAGGTTAGTTTTTAAAATTCATGATTTATTAATGGAAGTTTAGGGATTTATGGGGCTAACATACACACACACACACACACACACACAGAGCCTATATATGTGGACTAAATCCACGCCTTTAAGGAAGCTGTTTGGGTGAACACTTCATGACAGTGATGAATTAGTTGGTCAGCATTCATCGACCTCTAAATGCCTTTTAATTAGTCTCTTCCGTTGTATACGTATAAAAATATGGAAAAGATTTGTGCGTACATGCAATAGAAAATTTAAAATATTCACCGAACCACATGAGCTTAGGTCTCTTAGAAAGTAAGAAAGTTAACAATCACATATGGAGTACTCTATAATCTATAATCTATAATCTCCTTTTCATGTAGGGTTGGTTTCAAATGAGCTGGATATTTGTATACATATATTATATAGTAGATTGGCAAAAAAGTTAATTGAGAAGCTTCCCCAAATTTGGTTTCTTAATGCAATAGTGTTGGTTCGATCAACATTCTAACACAGTAACCCATAGGTATATGGAAGCGGTTCCAATAAAAAAAACAGTATGGAAGTGGAGCATTGAGTGGTTTAGCTATTGCAGGCAGGGTGCTGGGGAGTAAGGTTTCAATATCCTTTATTACCATTAGTTTATTTGATGCTCAGTTCTCATGTGAACTAGTGTGCATTAGTTGTAAATTATTAATTCGTCAATTTTCTCTTATGTATACGATTTATAAATTATAGTAAACTCTGGTCAGTTGTACGTACAGTCACATTCTAATGTTCTGACGTTATCCCGTAGATTTTGAGGGTACTTTAAATCTGAAAAGTTACAATTTTCAACAGTATAATAAAGAGATGAGACCTAAAAAATAGTGTTTAAAATATCTCACATTGTAAATGAAAGTGCTTTAGTTAAAAGATCATATATTCTTTACCCATTGCTAATTGGTTTTGAATTGGATGTTTGTCACATTCCAGCCTGGGCTCCCACCACATTCCGGGCTCGACTTTACCGTAGCACGATATTGTCTGCTTTAGGCCCCGACCATGCCCTCACGGTTTTGTTTATGAGAACTCACACCTATATCGACCTGTACGACTTATTCATATCTCATTGCATATCTCATCAATCATCATTATCATCAAAGTGTACTTACCTGAATCTCACCTAAGCGTCCGCAGCGTCATTTGGCACATGATTATTTATATTGCTAATGAGATGTTGAGTAGTATTATACTTCTGAGTTTATTGTTGGTATACGTTTGATTTCATGCTTCTACGTAGTATGATTTGCTGGAAACTATTTGAGTTTTACGGCGAGGGGTTACCACCTTTGATAATGGAAATTATTTTGAAAATCTTTGTTTTGACGACTCACACTTTCTATTTTTACACCCCTCCAGGTTCTAGTAGCATGGTTCTGTATCGACGAGAACATGTGGCACTCCCAGTTCTAATGGCATATATTGATGGTATGATTATTACCTTTGTTCACTATACTTGTTTTATGCTCTGTATCACGTGTGAAATGGGTCCATACCTGCTCACCACGTAGTTGTGTATATAAGCACTTTTAGGTTTAAATTTATTCACACTTTACGCATCATCACATTCTATGGCTTCGTCACCTTCCAGGTGTCGGCTAGCACAGCTCGATTCAGAATTCTAGTGGACTTTCCAGGTCGGGGTGTGTCAACGTTCACATTCTACTCACATGCTCACATTACTATATATTATTACCCCTAACATATATATATATATATATATATATATATATATAGTACTACTATATGTTCAAATTATCTATATATATATATATATATATATATATATGTATATATAGTACTACTATATGTTCAAACATGTTAACTAATTAATCTACCCATATGTAAATTTATGACGAGCAATAACGAATATTTTGTAGGTAAATTACTATTGAAACAAATAACATTCTTTTATATTGTAGGTTATATATTTTCCATGTATTATTACATATATTTGACACATTTTATTATTATAAGATATATGTACAAATAATAGGTAAACTAATTTTGAATCAAAATAAAATTGCTTTATTTGTAAGTAAATTAATTTTGAATCAAATAATTTCTTCATTATGTAGGTATATATATTGGACACATTTTATTATTATATGTACAAATAATAGGTAAACTCATATTGAATAAAATAATATTATTTTGTATGTAGGTACATTATTTTCCATGTATTTTGGGATTTACTTTATTTTGTAGGTAAATTATTTTGCATGTACTTTACATTTATTGGGTAAATTATTTTGCCTTTTTTAAGCAATCTAACATTTTAAATTTTGAAATCTAACATCTTTTTCGAGTAAAAAAAAAATAACATTTTTAAAGTTGAATAGTAGGTGCATTGAATCAAATAACATTTTTTTATAGGTAAATTATTTTGCTTGAATTTTTACATATAGCATGTGACACACCCCGACCCGGAATGTCCATTAGGACTTTGAATCGAGTTGTGCTGGCCGACACCCGGAGGCTGACGAAGCCATAAAGTATAGTGATGTAGAAAATGTAAATAAATTTAAACCTAAACGTACCTAAACACAAGAGTGCGCTGTGAGTGGGATGAACCCATTTCACATGCGACGTCAGAGCATAAGTAAAGTTCAGTAGTGTGGGTAAAGATCATACCTTCGAAGGTAACCACCTATACTGAGATTTGCCAAGAATCTTTGTCGATACGAACTTTTAGCAGCTAAAACTTGGAGGGGCGCAAAAACAAGGGTGAGTGGGCCTGAAAATAAAGTTTTTAATAAAAACCTTATGAAAACGTTATAACCCTTCACCGTAAAACCCGCATAATTTTCTAGAAAATAATAATACATACGTATATATAAATCATGTTCGAAGTAGTGAAAACCGAGTATATGCCATGTCAAGTATCTCAGCAATGAAATAAGTAAGCTAGGTGAAATAAATCAATGTAAAATGATATGCCAGCTGGAGTCACCGAATGTGACCAGTACGGCTGGACCTATAGCTCATTAACCAATTCCTACACAAGAGTTGGAACCACCTAATGTGGTATGTTCGACAGGGCTGGGTGTAAATAAGTACGCTCAAATGCTATGATCACGTGAATGCTGTGCGAATAATTACAGGTCACCTACGAGTCAAAACCACCTAATGTGGTTTGTAGGACAGGGCTATGCACCAAATTTGGATCCAAGGTGAGTGCGCGGTGTAATAGGTGAACATCACGTGAAGGATTGTGCCCTGGCCACGGGCAGGAGCACTAATACCG